TGACATAGCATACCTTTAGTTTGGAAAAAGAAATGTCCTGGGTTAAACTGAGAAGTGTTTATATATAAAATTTTAAAATAGATATAAATATCTTTGTAAATAAAAAATTCATAAATCAAGCATTTGTAAGCCAAGGAATGAGTACAGTTATCATATAAGTCTGTGGAAGTGAGTGAAACAACTCTGACACTATGGTCAATAGAGAAACAAAGAGTGCTCAAGAAGTAGACTTAAGGAATGCCACATTTAGAAGTTGGTTGGAGAAGACGGAACCAAACGGATTTGGAAGGAGTTGCCTATTAAGTAGCAAGACACTATCTAATCAGAGTTTCTGTTAAGGTCATAATTCTGAGATGAGTGATGTACAAGATGTAAAAGGGTGATTCACATTATAAGGGGAAATATAATTATGATGTAAATTAAAAGCGGAAATGCTCCTAGAGAAGCCACAGAGCACTGAACCAGAAGACAGAGGCTAGGATTAAATTTCCCAGCTCTGACTGTTACTAGGTACATGACATTGGACAGGACACATGACTTTGCCCTGAGCCTCAGTGAACTCCCTTGCAAAAGGAAAGATGGGAATACCTAAATCAATGGACTGTTGTGAGAATTTATCGAATTAATGCACCCGAACATACATTGCAAATGGAAAAACATAACACAAACATAAGACACTTGCCTTGGCTCTCTGCCTAGAACTTGCATTCCTCCAGGACAAGGGCCCACCCTACCCACTTCTCTGGTCTTTCTTCTGCCTGAATCCTGACCTCCCCGATGGTATCCACCTGCTTTCTGTGATCTTCTTCTGTTGCGTGGTATCTAGGACCTTAGTGCCAACTGCCCATTGCCAGAGCTTTATACATACCAGTTGCTGGGCTCTCGCCAAATTACCCACCTGGTTCCTGACTTTCTGGCCCATATACCACCCATGAGCCCAAGTTATGATCTGCTGCTGATTACTGAGATTCATAGTTAACATCCATCCCTAGTTTGTTCACTCACAAAGATTTCTTGAAATCTTGAGATCAAAGTACTTTGTGTGTATCTTAAAAGGTGATATCTACAGCAAAATACATATATGCATTAATTCATCGATTTCCTTCACCTTCAGTTTTTGATTTATACAAATAATAAAGGCTTTTGTTTATTTAAATAGTTTTAAAAATTGTTTATGGCTATGCTGACAGTATCTGGATTGTGTTTGAAAGTCGTCTCTCATCAGTTAAGATATCCATGGCTATTTATTTGAAGATTCTTTGATCAAGTTGTTTTCATTGAAAATGAGTATGGTTTTAAAATTACCAAAAGTTCTTCACAATAATTAAATTGCTACTTGCTTTATCCATTCCTTGAGGGAAAAACTTAGCCAACCATTTGTTGAGCTGGGTTGGAAAACCCATCTATTATTGGATTCACTGATATTTTAATTATGATTTAATTATCAATGATTAAAGAGGAAAAAATCATAATTAAATAATCTGTCATACTCCAAATTTTTTAATTAGTTGATTTGCGCTAAATACAATATTGTAATCCTTTCAGCCAATCATTTTGAAAATAAGAAAAATAAAATTGAGTCTCTTTACTTTAATCTTTGAGATTTTGGAAGGGGCTGAGGAAAGAAAGGGAGGAAGGTCACTATGTGAACATCAAACGATACGCACCAATTTTTAAAACCCTAGCAAAGACTTTGTGCTTCACCAATCTCTGCTTAAGCACAGAGAGAAAATGAAGTTACCCATGACAGGGTATTACAATAATGCCATAGAAGCAATTCCTGTCCCCATAATGGGAAGTTATATGTCAAGCTAAAATATCCAAGTCTTTTATATTTTAGGACTAATAACTTTTATTGCTGTTTTTAAGGGATGTCATTTTCTACTTTTTAAGAAATTTAATTACATTTGCTCTTCTCCAATCATCATCAGTCCCCTCTTTTGGTCCATGCCTAGATTACAAAGAAAAATCTAAGCGAAACTGCAATGACTTTACCTGAATTCTTAAGTAGAATACAAAGTGTTCCAACTTTCTCATAGGACATACCAGTTTGCTATAGTTAACTACTTTAAGGAAAGAAGCCTGGCTCCACTGGTGATCGGGGTGAGCTGTGATGAAATTCAGACCAGGCGAGTTTTCAGTATCCATTGTCATTGGTTATATGCTCCCATCGTATTCTATATCTTTCTTTCCAAATATTTACCAGTTCATAATTATGTATTTATATGATAATATTGTTAATGTCTTTCTCCCCAACATGACAGTAAGGCCCACGAAAACAAGGGTAAGATCAATTTTTCCTACCAGTGTATATTTCAGCACCCAGTCAGTGGGTGCCTAAAATGTAGTAAGTGTGCAAAACACTTTTACAGAAATAAATAAGTAAATAAATAATTTTCAAAGAGTCCTTAGGAATGCATCAGTATCAGTCACTTGGTATGTCCTATATAATGAAATTCTACAAAAGGTATTTTTGAACAATTAGTTGATTACACCACATTTTGAGCATGCCCACTTTCCCTGATAGCTTGTTTCCAGAGGCTGGTTTCAGCCTTCTCTGATGACCACAGAGTGACAGCCCTTTTGCGTACTTATATTAAGAGCATTCTATTAAATATTTTGAGTTTTATAGTTTGTCTTTAGAAGTCCACCTGAAAATTTAGAAGAACAACAACAATTTCCTTAGAAGCGTATCCCCTAATCTGTTACACCAATATTATGGGGAAAAACAGGTTTTTTCAACCCTTTCCCTTCACACGGTATGAGCATCTGAAAGGTCACCTGATAGTACAGTAGGGGTGAGTGGTTCTCAAACTTGAGCGTGCATCAGAATCACACGGAGGACTTAAAACACAGATCGCTAGACAAACCCACAGAGTTTGTGATTCCACAGGTCTGGTGTAGGGGCCTGAGAATTTGTATTTCTCATAGCTGCCGCAGTGTTGCTGATGCTGCTGGTCTGGAGAGCACACTTCGAGAGCAACTAGGGTAGTTGCTGGAAGGGAATCTTGCTAAAATTACGTTCAATACCACCCACATTCTTGGTTGAAATAGTCTCATAGAGAAAATTATAAACGATTGGTGGAGAAGATGAATTAGCAGAAGGGGCTACATAACATATATTATGCAATACATTATTAATTAACCAGCTTGCCTTATTACTCTTTGGTTCATGGTTTGTTTTATTGTTTTCCCAAATATGCTTCTTCAGGAATTATCTTGTTTCATTTTTTAATAACTAAAATTCAGGAGGTAGGGGGAGGCATCCCGAAGTTATTTTTGTTCTCAGTAAAAATCACCTCTCTCTGGCTTCCCTGTCCCTCAGCTCCTCAAGAAGTTCACTTGTTCCTTTTAATCATTATCTGTAAAAATGGATATAATAGAACCTATCTCAGTGACTTGCTGTGAAGATTAAATGAGACCCTAAATGGAGAAAACTCAGCACTGAAAACAGTCTGTAAATGGTAGCTGCTGTGTTTTTACTAATTCATTTACTCATTCAAGGAACTAAAGTCCAATGGTCAGGGGAACCCTGACTGAAACTACTCCATGTCTAACACATTAGTTCACCACAGCAATAGCCCTAAATCGTAAAGGGAATGTTCAGTTATGTTTCAGGCATTCTGCTTACTGTGGCACAAAAGTGTTTGATCTGGAAATTTTGGCACAGGGCACCAGGATAGCATTCTCCCGAATTATACAAAACCACAAAGAAGAATCACCTGGAGAACTGCTTAAAAATACAGATTCCCGAGCTCCACCCCAGACCAACCAACAGCATCTCCAGGGGAGAGGCCTGGGAATCTTATCAATCATCACCCCAGGTGATTTCTCTGATCAGGAAGTTTGGGAAACACTGAAGGGACCTCTCACTCCATTCTAACGGTGGCTCATATAAGACCTAAACATCATTTCTGTTTATTCAGTAGGCCATTGTTGACTACAAAATTTCAGCAGTACTTACTTAGCATTTTGTTCTTTTGAATTGAACCGAAGTCACCTGGAGAGGTCAGCTGTAAGTAGGGTATTTTTTGGCTGGTGGTGCTTTGGAAAGGTTCTCAGTGTTTCGAGCTCACTCGCCGCCAGCTGCTAACTGGTCAGGCCCTGTGCTTACTTCTCAATTGCCTAATACCTCCCTTCTGTAGAACTTCCCCCTGCAACTCCTCCTCTTTCTGGTCTTTGCCTCAAGTCTAGCTTGTTTGTCCCTCAACTCCATGTCTCGAGCAGAACATTTGGTGCTCTTCTAGTTCAGAACGCTTTGCTGGAATAGTCGATTTCCAGGGATTTTACAGGCGGGCCAAAACAGTTTGTTCCGAACAGCGACGCCAGGGCCGGGACTGGCAGCCAGTCGGCCCGGGCCTTTCTTGACTCTGCACAACCACCCGTGACCTTGGGCGAGCGAGCGTGTGCCGCCTGCCCCGCTGCTTCTCGGCGGCGTCCGGGCGATGCTCTGGGGGGACCTTAGAACCGAAAGGGGGTTCTGGGGCACGGGGCAGGGGAGGCTTCTTAAGCAGGCGAGAAGAGTTATTTTCCTTTTCTCGAGGCGAATCCCTCTTACTAACTCGTGGGGGGGGCGGGGAGGGCGGCGGTTAGAGGAGTAAGGAGGAAAGGGAAATGTCTGCCAAGGGCTCGAGACAAAACGTGAGAACTCAGATGGCGAGAAGCGGGCTTGAGCGAGAAAATCGGAAGGAGGAAGGCTGAGGGCGGACAATCGGGTTAAAAATAGAAACGCATTCTCCACAGGCCTCGCTCCTTCCAGCTCCACCCTGGGACCCACAGCCGGGCCAGTGACTCGGCTCCGCGCGACGGCAGCGAGGCCGGGCTTGACCCCGCCTCCCGGACCCGGCAACTGGGCCCGGAGGCGGGGCGCCGGGCTCGCGACGTCACCGCGCTCCCCGTCGCCGCCGTCGGGGTTTTCGCTGACGCACAGACCCCGCCCCCCTCCCTCTTTCCCTCACTGCCCGGGTGCCGGGTGGATAGAGAGCGTCAGTCGGACGGAGCGCGGACCAGTGTGCACCTGGGCTTGGGGCTCGCTTGCTCCCGGGAGCCACGCAACTTCCGCGGCCGTAGCTGAGGCGACGGAGAGCACCACCGGCGGGCCCTCGCGGCGCCCAGGCCTCCCTGCGCGCGTCCCGGTCGCCCTTGGAGTCGGCCCAGCCCGCCGCCGGTGGAGGCGTGAGGTGACGACGGACGAGTGCCGCGGGCAGCGTTAGCCGCCGCGGCCTTCGGTCCTCCCTCCGCCTCCTCCTCTGCCCCCCCCCCGCTTCCCTCCTCCCACTTCCCGAGCTCCGGCGTGTCCCGGCCACGCTCGGTGCTACTGCAGGAACAAAGGAGGACCCCGCGGCGGCGGCAGCGCCACCTCCGCCCCGCTCCCGGCCCGCGGCGGCCGCTCCTGGGCGCACGGCTCGTCTCTCCCGGAGGCCCGGGCCCGGCCCTACCGCGCCGGCGTCGCGCGCGAGCCCGGCTCTTGCACTCCTGCCCCCGCAGGGTGAGTGGTGCGGAGCTGGGGGAGGGCGCCCGGCGGCTCGTGCCCGGCCGGGGGATGGGGGGGGGTGACCGGGCCGCCTCGGGCCTCTGGCGGAGCCCGAGCGGGCCGCGGCCGGCGGCCTCCGGGGGAGGGGAGCCCGCTCGCCAGCTCAGGAAGCACAAAGACGGAGGCGTCATCCTGTCGTCGTGGCCCGAGGTCCGGCACCCCGCGTCGCCGGCTCGCCTGCACCCGCACGGTCCGGAGAACAATGCCCAGCGTGTGGGCTCCGGGCCTCCCTCGCGTCCGTCCCGGCCGCCTTATGCGCGGCGCCCGGCGTGGGCAGCCGGACCCGGAGAGACAAAGGGGCCGTGGCGGCGGCCGCACCCCCGGCCCCCTGCTCGCCGCACCCCCCCCTTCCTCCGCGGTTCGCCGCCGCCGCCTCGGAGGAGCCGGTCAGGGTCGGGGGTCGGCGCGGGGCCGGCCTGGCCTGCGGAGCTGCTGTTCTGCATGACTCAGTGGTTTTTGGAGAAGGCCCTGCTGAGCTCTCCTGAGCAAGGCCTCGGCTTAGAGAGGGGTATGGTGGGGAGGAATGGGGGGGAGCCACTGGGACCCGGACTTGTTCGGAAATCCGCTGGAACGTGGGGGGGGGTGCTCTTCTGTCGTCGTGTTTTAGTTTTGCCAGCGTCGCTGCGTTTCTCGCTGAAGATCCCTTTCATGAAGGAAATGGAGCATCTTCCCCTTTGTTTCATGCATTTAGGCTGGTGAACATGAAATTCTTGCTTGCTTTCCACGCACTCCGTGGAGCTGTGTTTTTGAGGAAAGGCCCGTGTTACTTCTATTGAACGCCTCCTAAGAATCTGGTCTAAGGACATTAGGGTAAAGTAGTGTATATAGGTCACAGAGCCCTTGATTTTAAACCTGGCATTCAGGTAATTTACAGACTTAAAAAGAAATTAAAACTAATTTCATTTTATTCCTTATCTTTTTAAAAGTAGGCTTTCAGAACTTAATGGGGTGAAAATATTGCAATTTTTATCTTACAAGTTTTTGGGGTTTTTTTTTCAATGTTTCCCCAAAAAAGAATTTATTGTAGTTCTCCCCTATTTTATATCTCAGGCCCGGTATTAAGCCTGGAAAGGAACCTTCAAAAATCAGAGTAGTCTCCTTTTGGCAAACGGGGAAGGGAGATCTGGAGAGTAAGGACTTGCCCAAGGTCACTGGCTTAGTTAGAAGTAAATTAGTGACTAGAACTCAGATCTCAAGTCCAGGTGAGTAGGCATTCTTAACATCTAACGTGTGCACCTGAAAACTAAGTAACATAGGGGTAAAAGCCTTTTGGTTTTTGTTTTTTTTAATTCGTATTTGAGGCTGGAGAGTTTTTCTGTTACATGTCCAGGTTTTAGTTTTCTTTAAACAATGAGTTAGGGGCACCTGGGTGACTCAGTCGGTTAAGTGTCTGCCTTCTGCTCCGGTCATAATCCTAGGGTCCTGGGATCAAGCTCCGCATCTGGCTCCCTGCTCAGCGGGGAGCCTGCTTCTCCCTCTCCCTGCCGCTCTGCCTACTTGTGCTCGCTCTCTGTCAAATAAATAAATAAAATCTTAAAAAAAATTACGAGGGGAAGCCACAAACTGTAAAAATACACATTTCAGCTATACAAAATATAAAAATAAACATTTCCTCTGTATCTGATAGAGCTGACCCAGGAATGCACAAGTTTCTAACAACAAAACTTTAAAGGTACCAAATAGTAATGATAATGTATTTTTCTAAAATGGTGCCAAGCAGGAGGGAAACAGCACCTACTGGCAAACTACCCCCTCCTTCAAATTGCTGCTGAGCAGAAGGATTTAAACATGAGGATTCTTTCTGCCTCGGTGCTCTCTCTGCTGTGCTTGGTTTTTATAAACAACCCTGACCATTTTGGCTTCATGAGTGATGAATGATGCATCTTAGTTGAATTTGAGATTGTTCGCTAGCCCCCTACATTAAAAAAAAAAAATTGCAGTACCCTTAATGGCAATTTTTTGTTTTGTTTCCTTATTATATTAGATATATGAACGCAGCATCCTTAGTTCTTGGGGTTGTGTAGGAGTTGGCAGGCTCTACGATATAAATAGAAGCTGATTTCAGAGGCCCCTGTTGACTAGGCTTTATGTGAGAGCCTCCATCCAGCTCAGCCTGTCACATTGCAGCCTTGTGACAGGCTGAAGCACCCGCCCATGTGATCTAAGCTTCTGAGAAATATTAAGGCAAGCTTTGCACATGTGATGGCGTTTAAAAGCTGGCTTTCTAGGGGGGAAAAATCTACAGGATGGGAAGGTATGTGGAAGACTAATGTCCTGGTGTCTCTTGTGTTTCAGTTGCAGGCTATTTATAGTGAATTGGAAGTAGTTGTGTTTTCTGAAGAAGGAAAGGTGGGATACTTTGCAAGTTGAAGTGGGTAAAATCATTGATGAGATTCCCCCCCTCTTTGTATATAAAGGAAAAGATTTTAAGAATTGGATTCGCTAATGTTAACGTGGGTTGACTCTTAAATTTAGGCCAGTTTGCTATTATAAAGCCACTGTCAGATGACACTGGAAGTTAGTATAGAAACTGTGAGCTAGCATAATTCTTAAGCTGGCTTCAAGGAATGACCTTTTTGGGTAGGGCAGATTCCCACACATTGCATGGGGGGCATGCAAATAAATACATAGTTTATTATTTGAAGCATTTTTGCACATATTAAAAATTTTTAAAAACCCAGCTGAAAATGTTTATTAATAAACTTCATAAGTGATGTTGAAATATTTACACTACCCTGCTCCAAAATGAGTCAGCTAAATTCCACTTATTATTTAAAGAGACCGTGTCTGCTAAATTAGTACTATTGTTTTGAAGTAAGTTGTGGTTCTCCATCACCCTCCATATAAGCTTGACTGGCTTGAAATACTTCTTTTTGCTAACAAAAGGAAAGATTACGATCATTTAACTGTTGGGGAAATATTGGCAGGATTCTGGCCAGGTCAGTATTGATTAGTCTTCTAACCCCTTTTTATTAATCTTGGTAAAAAGTGTTAAATACTTGTTAAAACACTGTTTTTAGTAACTTACTAAAGAATGTATTCTGTGTGGTAGTTGGGAAAAGCCATATGAAATTCTAGGAGATGACAAGCTCTAGCTTGAAGTACTTTCCTGCACTTACTTGAAATGTTTATAGCTTAACAAATCATAAGTAATCTCCATTGTCAGCATTAAGGCACATTTAAATGACAGTGACCACAAGTTATAGCACACAATCTCCCTTTGATAAAATGCTCTCAAATACGCTTTTTGTACCTACATATTTTAAGGTGATACGGAAACTTTCCATAGTTTAAATTTTGCATTATGTGTATTTTCACTTAGGAAAATTTACTAAGTTTAGCATAGCGTTACTATATTTGTGCTAATTTTAAAAGGCTTCTGGAAGTTTTTTCTGGTAACCTAGCATTGAACATTAATTCCAAAGGCTGTGTGTTCACATTGCTTTACTTTGCCATATTGAAATAGAGCTTTCAAAGGTTTCATTTCTTGATGTGAGGAAGACAAGCACTTGTGAAAAGTTTTAATAGATGGAGCCTTTGGTTGGAGAAATCTATAGCTGATAATTTGTCCATTTGCAGGTTTCTGGGCACTGACTTTTTAAAGTATTCAGACCCAGATTTCACACCTCAAATGCAGAACTTAAAAGGAATTTCATAAGCAGCTGATCCCTAAATTCTTAAAGAGCTTTGCTTGTTGGTGCTAAGGTAACAGGAAAGGCTAGATGATCTACCCGCTCTCTTTTCAGTGTTCTGTAAAGGTGGTGCAACGTTTTTTAAAGTACAGTTGTTCTGCCCCATAGCAGAATTGTTGAATTACTGGTGAGGCCCAAGTATGTTACAAGGTATTTTAAGAATGCGTTAAGAGCAACATCCAGTATATGACCAGTTTAAAGAACCACCAGTAGCTATCAAGAGTTGATACTTAATTGTGATCATTGTAGATTTTTTTCATTTGCAAGTTCCATTTCACATATTTTTAGCTAAAAACACCATTTGATATGGTCTGCCTATAGTACAGGAAAGCAGAAAGTGACTTTAGGAATGCCAGTTGCCCAGATTGATTAAAATGTAATTCTGATATCTGGCAGAGTGACCTTTTCAGAAATTGAAACAAAGATTATGGTGATAGGTGAAGTAATACATTGTAATGTTTAATGATAGAATTTTTTTTTGTCCTAAAGACTGTGAAGTCCTTATAGTTAGTTATTTATCATGTTAAAAGACGGTTTTTTATGCCCATTGTTTTATAAAAGCAACAAAACTCATAATTTTCTTGGCCTGCTCTTGTTAATGATTAACATAATTTGGGCCTTTGTTAGAAACACACTTGGTGTTTAGAAGTAACAAAGGTATGCTGGTGGCTATCACACTAATTTAGTGATTTTACTTTGGTAACATGCTAATTAATAAAATTTTGTTTTTGTTTTGTTTATAGCAGAAAAATATGGCTCAAGAGACTAACCAGACCCCAGGGCCCATGCTGTGTAGTACGGGATGTGGCTTTTATGGGAATCCTAGGACAAATGGAATGTGTTCCGTTTGCTACAAAGAACATCTTCAGAGGCAGCAGAATAGTGGCAGAATGAGCCCAATGGGTAAGTTTCCAAGGAAAAACCCATTTGAAGAACTGGTGGACAGAGAATATAGAACCAAGAATTGGGGCCTAAGACTGTGAGAATCAATGCTGGGACCCCAAGGAGAGAAGACCTGAGAAGAGCTTGAAATTAAAGCATCAGCCCAAGTACTTGAAATGACTACCTCAGGAATGAATGACTGTATCTACAAGCATCTTCTAGCTTTTTCATTTTCCTTTTTGAGGTTTTGTTTCATACTTAGGTTCACTGGATGTGACTTTTTCATATATGCTTTTGTTTGGATACTCACTTAATTGTAGGATTCTGCAGCACAGTGAAAGTGCTTAAATCACTAACCTAATTAAATGCAAGTATTTGTTACTTATTAATAGTCTTGATACTGAGTGTTTGTAGTCATGCTCTTTCTTACAAATCCTTTTTTTAAATAGGAACAGCTAGTGGTTCCAACAGTCCTACCTCAGATTCTGCATCTGTACAGAGAGCAGACACTAGTTTAAACAACTGTGAAGGTGCTGCTGGCAGCACATCTGAAAAATCAAGGTAAGATTGACCATTTCAGGCTTTTTATAATAATTCGAGGAGGAAATAAAGATATCTATGCTAACCGTACTGTTCTGAGTGTTCGTATATAATAAGGATGTTAATATATCAGATGCCCTTGGCTTTATTTGTGTTGCACAATCTGGGATTCCAGGATCCTTTTAATACATGATCTTATAGGTCATTGAATAAAGATGTATATTATAACACTCCATGATACTCTTGAGAATGCTGTGCTTTTATTTTCTTGTAATTGAGGTTTAGGGATTGTGGAGAGTACGGCTCTGCAGACTCTATTCGAGTGCTACACATGGCATTTTGGCAAAGCTGCCCCTTTGCCCTTAAATTACAGGCACAGCTAAAAGTTCCCAGTTGGCTATAATAGAACACCGGAACCTATCCAAGTATGCGGCCTGGAACTGATGAGCCATTTATCACATGGCTTTCCTGATCCTCAACCATGTGTGCTGGGCATCCAGTACTCTTTTAAATTTTTAGAGTATTTAGCTCCATTGATCGTGTTGGAAATGATACATAATTTAAAGTTGAACTGACAACTTACCTTGCAAAAAGTACCCTTAACATCTTTAAAAATGTTTGCTTGAACTCAAATAGAAATGTGCCTGTGGCTGCCTTGCCTGTAACTCAGCAAATGACAGAAATGAGCATTTCAAGAGAGGACAAAATAACTACCCCGAAAACAGAGGTGTCAGAGCCAGGTATGCTTTTTGTTTAATACTAGTTCCGTTCTGGATTTGGTAGTATGAGAAAGTGTTGGTGGGGGGATTATTTCCTTCCCGTTGAAAGATTAAATTGGAGAGAAAGCTGTAAAATATGGGCCAAGCAAGAACCACTGTCCTTAAAGTCCCTCAAGCGTAAAATAGTCACTCTTTATTCTTCTTTCTTCTCTGCCCATGCCCCCTCCTTAGCCCCACCCCACAAATCCACAAAATTGATAATCTGGGGACTGGAAAAGTTAAGAATTTAATGAACTTAAAAAGTAGTTTACCAATATATTTTATAGATCTTTAAATCACTAGGGAAAGTATTATTCATAAATGGGAAGTTATATAGATTAAATTTCAAAGCCATGAAGAAAATTTTATATCAAAAGCAGTATCAGTCTTGATATTGTAGAAAATATTGAGGACAAAGAACATGTTGAACACTAAAAAAAACTTCCAAATTGAAGAAGTGTAGGATCTCTATCCTGTTTTGTGGGATTTTAAAACTCACTATGGAAAGGCATTTTTTTCATTGAGTGGCTTTGAGTCTCTGCTTCTGTAGCACAACCTGTTGCCAGAGATTGGCTTGTTCTGAATTACCTGTGCTGGACCCTGGAACAAGTAGCCCCGTACTCTTCAGGACACATAGTTCATTATTTCCTGGTACACAGTTTGAACACATTATAAAACTTTATTGTGAGGAAATTGTATTTGTAGGTATGTAATTTGCTTTGGAGGCTGGCTTTTGCTAACATCACGTAGCAAATTTTACGTGAATTGTAGCAGTGTTAATCTGTAAAGTTAAGGTAAAAATTCTTAAGTTCAGGTGAATCCATATTTAGTATTTTGAAATGAGTTCAATCCCTCTGAAAAAGCTGACCAAATTAGTGTGTTTGTGAGGCTTTTCTTCTGTTTGGGTTTTGGTTTTTTTTTTTTTAACACAAAATTACTCTGACCTTGGAACAGTACTCTTGGTTTATATTTGTAGCTAGTCTCTGCTATTATGCTCTCTTAGTAGGCACTCTGTAGTTTGTTCCTCTTTGCCTTTACTGAGTCATTTTCCCCTTTTTCCCTGTATGTCCCAGGAATCATTCTTCAGTTTTCTGATGTAGCCAAGGAAGTGGCTGTTGCCCCCCCTCGCCCGCCCCACTCTTCCCATAGATTCTTTACCAACATATCATCAGGAAAAACTGTAATAATGTTGTCATAATAGATTATTAGGATAAGTAGTAGGTAGAATATTATTCTGTTAGTCTAATATTAAGCTATTATTCTCACCGAATATGTTACTAATGCAAATGAGTTATACATTTGGGGAGCATTTTTAGAGTGAGCTGTCCTGAAACCTATCAGCTTGCTCTAGAGTTTGGATTTATGCTTATAGCATTAGTGCCAGCCTATTGTTTAAGCAGTAATTTTAGCATTGCATACATTAATTTTCTATTCTTTGGGTTTGGATTAATACTAAAATTCAGGGCTTCTGGTATAGTTGAATTTTATAAACGTAGAATTAAATTTGGTGTTTTGTTTTAAATAACTAGTGGTAATGTGGGCTTTAATGTGGTGAACTAATTTTATCTTCATATTGACAAGTTTTATTGATGTCCTCTATGAAATAAAATTTAAAGCCCTTTTAGGTGGAGAAACAGACCTTTTTAAAGTAGATCAGATCTCTCATTGTCTAAGTTCCACACTTGGTTTAGATAAGTATTGCAAAGTAAATAAAAGCTGTGTGTTAAAAATTCTCGTCTTGCCTGTGGACTCCTTAATAGTCAAAATTTCACAAGTACTTAAGCGGTCCTAAAGACCATGTTTGCTGATATTTCTAAAAGTTTTTTAAGAACTCTTCATATCTTCTACGTATGACCATATAAAGCATTTATTAAAATGGCAAAATGATAATTGTAAAATGTTGGGATCTGAAGTTAATTAGGGCTTAATGATTTAGGTTTTACTTGTCGCAATTGGCTGGATTTATCTATACAGTCTTTTGTATCAGTATAAAACCAAAATGACTTTTATAGCCAAGTACCTTAGAAGTTGGCAACTTCTATTTACTCAGTAATTATGAATGTGAACTGCCCTAATTAGGAAATTTGCATTTAGGCAAGTGCAGTATGGAAAAACTGGGCATGTGACCAACATCTCCCAGGTCTTTAAAACTTGGGATTTTGTTCCCTAGTACTAGCTGTTAAGAGTGAGTTTAAAGGAATTTGAGTGGAGTAATCATTTTACAACATTTCAAGGAGCCGAGTGTATGTTGATTGGCAAGAAGTTGTCAGATTTGAAAGAAGTTCTGATATTAAAGTAGAAGATTCTACATAGAGCACATGTTTTTTAAAAAGGCTTCATAAATGTTTTCACTAAAAATCTGTCTCTCAAGTGTTTTCTTTTTTTTTGATTTAAATAATTGTCAGCCTGTGAACTCTTGCAAATATCTCATTTTCACCCTTGTTTTTCAGTTGTCACTCAGCCCAGTCCATCAGTTTCTCAGCCCAGTACTTCTCAAGGTGAAGAAAAAGCTCCCGAGTTGCCCAAACCAAAGAAGAACAGATGTTTTATGTGCAGAAAGAAAGTTGGCCTTACAGGTATTACAGAACATAAAAGACAATGCATATTTTATTGCTAGGATTTAACAGGGAGCTCCCTAAGAGACTGGTCAGTCTTAACACCTATAGAAAATGCCCGACTTTCAGAAAAGTTTCCAGAGTGGACTAGAAAGGGGGCAGGATAATGGGGAGAAGTTGGGTTTGATTTCCATTTGTGTCTCTAATCCTCTAAAACCCTTTATTAGCTTCAGGCCTTCTGAATTACTTTGCTTTATTGGATTGATAAAAATTCATCCCTGTTGATTCTTTACTTTGTTCTCCTGGGGGGAAGGTAGCTGAACTAAACAGTAAGCACCATCTTTGAGCCAGGCAGAAAATGTTAAAGTACTTTTTAACTGTTCCCTTTAAATCTCAGAACCCTGTGGTTCTTTTCCCTAGTTTTCTCTTAAGGAAATATTACCCAGTTATATGTGGTCGGAGGACGATTTGCATCCAGGTCAGTCTGGCTCCAGAGCCTGTGTAATTTCTACTCTGATATATACAGGAGTTTATGGAAGGATAGTTATTTGAATTTCTCACTATGTCAAAAGAGACTGAAAGCTCTTTCACAGTTTAAAGTGGCAGACTCTTTCATGTTGCAGAGAACCGTGAAAATCTGGTTCCTTTTCTATAGTGACAGGCTTTTCCTTTCCTTTTAATTACTACAAATTCCCAAGTGACTCTACTTCCTCTTATGTGTACAGGGTTTGACTGCCGATGTGGAAATTTGTTTTGTGGACTTCACCGTTACTCTGACAAGCACAACTGTCCATATGATTACAAAGCAGAAGCTGCAGCAAAAATCAGAAAAGAGAATCCAGTTGTTGTGGCTGAAAAAATCCAGAGAATATAAATTACTACTTGTGAAGAGACTGAAACTTTGTTTTTATTTTAATATATCGTAGGAAAACATTAAAGAGCAGATGCATGGCCATTTTCCTTTGATGTTCTCCAGAGTTTTACTTTACACTTGTCTGTCTTATAATTGAAATTTTAGGATGTTTGGGTGTTACAGGCAGAAATGGATAGATACAGCCCTACAAAATGTATATGCCCTCCCCTGAAAAAAATTGGATGAAAATCTGTACAGCAAATTGAAAATACACAGGCGATAGGGACAAAATTTAGTTCCCACGTGCCAAACATAATACATGAAATCTCTGCATGTTTGCAGCATATCTGCCTTTTGGGAATGTAATCAAGGTATAACCTTTGGCTAGTGTTATGTGCCTGTATTTTTTTAAAAAATGGTACACCAGAAAAAGACTGGCAGTCTACTTCTACCATAGTTAAACTTCACCCTGTTAATTTCCAGAACATGTTCTTTGGAAGTAGGAGGAAAGCTATAAAGAGGATCAGACCTTTCCATGAAACCAGTATTCGGTGCCATATGTAAGCCTGGTTACTTTGTCTTATAAAAGCTGTCAAATAAGACGTTCTGTGAAAGGTAAACATCGCAACTGGTTATTATGAGTAAAGCCATCAGGCCCACAGGGTCTTGAGCAATCTCTGAAGCGTATTGTGCTGGCCGGCACCAGAAGATGTCTCTATTACTCTCACTGCTAATGTTGTGTAGCACAGAACTGCACTAGGCTTAATTTGTTTACAAGAAGAAATTAAAACTACAATCGGTTTTTACATACAGCAGCTCTGTTGGATAACATGCATCTGAATTTTAAGTTGCAAAGGTATCTGAAAAGTTCATTTTTCATGTGCATCTTTTGTTGAATGTTTTGGTTCAAGAAAGAATGTTTAAAGCTTTTTTAAAGACTTCAGTTCTTAATGTAACTGTACCCTTCTGCATGGAGAACCCTAACCAACACGGCTGCAGTAGACTTCTTAGTGGTATCCAGCACCACGTGCAGAGGGCTGCTTTATCATATTAATTGTACTTGGGTGTAGGACTCTAGTGTTCTTGGGTGTATTGCATGGGCTGCATTATCTACAGCATTGTACAATAACAACTAGAAGAGGCAGTATACTTCACTGATGCTTGTCTGGTAATATCACTTCTGTGTTATAATGGAAGGTTTTTGTGATGTATGAAACTTGTGTTTTTTATATATAAATGAGTACAGTTAGATTAGTATTGTGGTAATGCCTGTTTTCATCTGTAAATAGTTAAGTATGTACACGAGGCACTACTTCTGATTTATTGCAGTGTTCGGTCCTAGTTTTTACTTTAATTACAGCATTCGGTTTTGCTTTCAATTTTATGTACCTTAGTTCTGAGTTAGATCTGCAGATGTGTACAGATAGTTCATATTTATGTATTGCACATAATCATGCTATTCAGCATTGATGCTATATTGTATTATGTAAATAATAAAAGCCATGTACAGAGGGAAGCTTCCACTTGTCCATTGGGTTTTTAAGCCATAGTTAGAAGTCATAAAGGGGAATAGTTAGAAAATGTTTCAACTTTGTAGTTGTGTATGTAGACTTTGCATGGCTATACTGTGATTTTTTTTTTGAATTGCCTTCCCTGAACATGTGTTCAAGTGAGAACCGTATGTTGAATTTTGTGAAACATCAAGTATGGTACACAGTGAGCAGTTTATTTTTTAAGAAATGAATAGGCACTTTTTAGGATCACAACCATCTTAGAACTTAGGAGGAGAAAGGAATGGAATTTTAATAACCATGGCCTATCTCCCTTTTCCATTCTTTTGCTTTATAGGTGACACTTTGGACATGACAACTTGTGTGCAAAAACAGGCATAGTTTTTATTTCTGTTTTGGGTTTGGTTTTAATGTAGAGATGGGCCCATGGGGTAGCTGAAGCCAAAAGCAGAACCATGACTTTTCAGTGATAGAGTTTGAAATGGAAATACCCTGGTTCACTATCATCTGTCATAGTTCTTTGGGTGCTGGTACTTTTGCTTCAAGTGGGGGAAATCCATGAGATAATCTCCAGAAATATGAAGATACTGAAGAACCACAATTGAGGTGAAAATTAACAGTATTAAGGCCAATAATTTTTAAAGTTTAACATTTATTTCCCCTCAGTGCTTCACCCTGTCAACATTTGCTTGATGAATTTTAAATCTTACAGTTGAATCAAGGTGGTATCTGGGGGATAAAGAAGACTTAGCAAGATGATGGGCCCTTCATTGGTCTGTAACTTTGTGCAGCATGAGATGGTGGTAATGTTTCCGTAATTTTTAAAGCAGTATTTAGAACAGATTTGGACTTGAGGATTTAATTTGTCAGGAGCATCAGCTAATTGGGGAGAAAGTGTAAGGCAGCTAGGAAGACTCAATGTTAGCTAGACTTGATTCAGACCTGAATGTTCTTTGGGGACTAAGTGGACTCCGGGATGTACACTGAGATCTTAAACATTTGAAGAATATACATGTTTTTCTTTATATGGACTCAACCTCTGCACACTCCCACTCCAAAAATGTTTTGCTGGGACAGACCATGATAAGAACTAGGACCTTGGGCTAGTCCTTGCATCCAATCTATTCAGTGGGCCTTATCTGTAAAACTAGAGCTTCTGGTTCTGTGGTGGACTATAACAGTGATTTTGTGAGGGAAAGAACTTTTTTGAGTAGTAAAACGGTTAAGATAATGGACCCTGGAATCAGGATCTGTGAATAAGGATGATAACAGTGGCTGGCACATAGTAAGTATGCTCTATTAAACTTTAAAGGCTATCTTTTTAGAGCAGCTTTTAGATTCACATTAAAATTGAAAGTACAGAGATTCCTCATATACCGACTCCCCTGCCCCCAACCTGTGCATAGCCGCCTCTGTTAGCATCTGCCACCAGAGTGGTGTATTTGTTAAAGCTGTTGAACCTGCATTGACAGATGATTACCACTTGGTCCATAGTTTACAGTTCACCCTTGGTGTACACTTTATGGGCTTGGACAAATGTATGGTGATCTGTATCCATCACTATAGTATATGGAGTGTGTTCACTGCCCTAAAAATCTGCCTATTCCTCAGCCTCACCCTAACCCCCGGCAACTACTGATCTTTACTCTTAATTTTGCCGTTTCCAGAATGTCCTATGTAGTTAGAATCATGCAGTATGTAACCTTTCAGATTGGCTTCTTTCACTTCTTAGAAATACATGCATAAGTTCCCTCCATGCCTTTCATGGTTTGATAGCTCATTTCTTTTTAGTGCTGAATAAATAATCTATTGCCTGGAAGTGCCACAGTTTATCCATTCACCTACTGAAGGATATCTTGGTTGCTTCTAAGTTTTGGCAATTATGAATAAATCTCCTTTAAATCGTTGTGCAAGTTTTGTGTGAGCATAAATTTTCAACTCTTCTGGGTAAATACCAAGTACGATTGCTGGGTTGTGTGATAAGAATATGTTTAATTTTGTAAGAACCCACCAAACTTCCAAAGCGGCTGTACCATTTTGCATTCCTACCAGCAATGAACAATCCTGTTGCTCCACATCTTCACCAATATGTGGTGTTGGTCAGCGTCTGAATTTTGGCCATTCTAACAGGTGTGCAGTAGTATCTCAATTTGTATTTCTCTGATGACATATGATGCGGAGCATCTTTCTGTGTGCTTACTTGCCATCTGTATATCTTCTTTGAGGTCTTTGGCCAATTTTTAATCGGGTTTTACTGTTCAGTTTTAAAGAGTTCTCTGTTTGGGACAATAGTACTTTATCAGACGTGTCTTGCAAACATTTTCTCCCAGTCTGTGACTTGTCTTCTCATTTTCTTGAGCTATTATTAATTTTAATGTTCTAGAGTAATGATTTACAGAGGTTGGAAAGACAATTGAATTCAAATTCTTAGCAAGTAACTAAAAATGGGTAAAAGTCTACTAAGTACTGTAATGGCAACATGTTAAGCATTGTAAAAAATACTGTGTTATAATTGTATTTTTTTGGAGTCAGTAATATATTCACAGAGTTCAAAACTAATTTATCAATATCGCAAAGCTTTGCCCATCTTGGCCTATACCCTCCACTCCAAAGACACATGTACATTTTAGGTAACTGTCAAAACTTGGAAAGCCTGTTTTATCTTTTCCACATCATGTAAACATTGTGTACAGAGACTTAATTTAACCCGTTTGCTTAATTGTTGGAATGCAAAGTTTTTACAGTGATTTTTGTCTATTATAATATTAGCTTATAATTTTGGAGAGAATGATGGGTGGGGTTGCTGGTTGTTAACAGTAAGATCGTGTAGCCTTAAACTGCATAGGTAGAAGGGTTTCTGAGGCGGAAGCAGCAGGTATGGAAAGTGACTTGAAATTTGACAAAAGTTTCTTATGTTTGTACAATCTTCTTTAAAACAAACATGAACAACAGAATACAAAAATGCCATTTGATACCTATAGCTATTTCCATACACAAACCCTGCTTTTTAATTCATATAAACCAAAGAGCACTGTTTGTTTCCCCCCAGAGCACATTTCTGTTCTTATTCTAGAAGTGAAAGTTAGACCATTTTGTGACAAACGTAGGACTCCATTTTGTCTGCAACAAAGTACTACTTTTTTCAAGATTTGATTTATTTGACAGAGACAGAGATAGAGCAGGAACACAAATGGGGAGTGGGAGAAGGAGAAGCAGGCTTCCCACCGAGCAGGGAGCCCAATGTGGGACTCAATCCCAGCACCCTGGGATCATGACCTGAGCCGAAGGCAGACACTTAACGACTGAGCCACCCAGGCGCCCAGTACTACTTTCTTTATTAGCATAGGTACTGATGTTATAAAGTCATACCTCACGTTATACTTAAATTAACAGCAAGGTGATAGAGGTTATAGGTTGCTTTCTGGTTGGTTAATCTGTTTTGAATATATTTTTTCCTGATGGTTTTGATTGAAATGATCACCACAGAACCTCAGATTGTATTTATCTAAAATGATTGATAATGTAACCACAGCTGTTCAGGAATTAGGGTAATTGATCAGTTTACTCAGAAGTTAACAGGAAATCTATTTTTGTGTGTGGTACAAGGAAATGGTCCAGTTTCATTCTTCTGCATGTGGCTGTCCAATTTTTCCAACACCATTTGGTAAAGAGACTGTCTTTTTTCCATTGGATATTCTTTCCTGCTTTGTCGAAGAGGAGTTGACCATAGAGTTGAGGGTCCATTTCTGGGCTCTCTATTCTGTTCCATTCATCTATGTGTCTGTTTTTGTGCCAGTACCATACTGTCTTGATGATGACAACTTTGTAATAGAGCTGGAAGTCTGGAATTGTGATGCCGCCAGCTTTGCTTTTCTTTTTCAACATTCCTCTGGCTATTCGGGGTCTTTTTCTGATTTCATACAAATTTTAGGATTATTTGTTCCATTTCTTTGAAAAAAGTTGATGATATTTTGATAGGGATTGCATTAAATGTGTAGATTGCTCTAGGTAGCATGGACATTTTCACAATATTTGTTCTAATCTGTGAGCATGGAACGTTTTTCTATTTCTTTGTGTCTTCCTCAATTTCTTTCATGAGTATTCTATAGTTTTCTGAGTACAGATTCTTTGCCTCTTTGGTTAGATTTATTCCTAGGTAACAGGAAATCTAACATATTCTTAAATTTTAGTTGAGTAGAAGATCTGTTCACTAAATAGCATTTACTTAAGTACCTACCCTTTAGAGCTCAAGAGTGAGCTAGAAAAAAAAATATAAATTAACCTAGATGAGCTCAACTGAAACACTAGTGTTTGAGTAAATTTCTCAGTTTGATTCTATGTATAATCCATGGCAAATTAAAAAATGGTAGTTGATCCTTGCTACGTAATATGTGTCTGCCCTCTCCCCTCCCTGTCACTAAAAATGTGTTAAAACATGCAAATTAGAATACCATGCAAATAAATATGCTTTAGATTTTCTATTGTGTGGCACTATATCTGGTCTTTTATAGAAACGAAAGGACTGATAATACTTAAAAAAAAAAAACATTTCTTTGAAGAAAACTTAACTAACCCTCGTGTTCCGGTTCTACATCCACTCTTAGGACAAAAGTACTTCCTTACTTGGGTGCTGTTTCTTAAGGTACCCCTCCTCTAGATGTACCCCATGTGCTTAGCAGTATCACCCACATACTAAAAATATTTGGCCTCAAATGTTGTCTTGCACTAGTAATTGCTGTTGTAAAAGTGATTCTGCTATAAATATTATAATACTTAAATACAAATAATATGCCACCCCACCCATTAGCCTTTACCATCTGTGTTATATTTAAACGTCTGCTAAAATTACATATGCTTAAACAAGTTTCGTTTTCAGCTATTCTGCATGAAAATTAGATTGGTTTGAATATCTGGAGCAGCATAACCCAGTTTTTTCAGGGGCTAGATTATAGCAGGTGACAAAAATGAGATTTCAGAGATATCATAAATGACTTGTTAGAAAAAGTGCAATCGATAGGCACCAAAATATGTGTTTATAGTCAGGCATTGCCCTTCAGTATTCAAGTGCTAGGCATGTTTATTTGGGTCTTTGATTAAAAGAAAGTCTTTTAAAATAGATTAAAGGTAGCAGTTTTTACTTGATTAATTGGGACCAAGAG